TTATGCTGATAAATATTGGTCCAAGATGGTGGCAAGGTTAGCTGTAGTATCATCCTAACTTTAAGCTAAATCTCTTTTAATCCCACAAACATCCTTGAGCTTCGTTGGCTGTTTATCAAACAGATATTAATCTACATTCAAGGCCCTATTTGCTTGCAGTTTCGGCTCACCTCAGCTGCTCTCAATTAACACTGTGGAAAGCAGGGGAAAAAGCCCGGTGTGGCCGAACGGTAAATGCAGTTCAAATAAGGGCAGCCGCGCCGCAGTTATCCTGCAGATGCGATGCATTGCCCAACTGCCCTCCAACTGCCGTTTTTCCACTCAATTAGGGTAGCAAAAAATACATCGCACATTTGCCTAACTATATATACCTTCGATTCCAGATCGGAGGGAACGAACTGTAGCATATGTGACGGCGTGCGGCGAGCGGCGTTCGGTGTTCGGCGCAGTTGCTGTCCTGCCGAGGAGCATTGTTAATCGTATCCTGCGTAATAGCATAATAATCCCTAATCGCATCTGATCTGTTCACCTGGTTGACACACTATCTCCCTCCCTCTCCCCTCCGGCAGCTCACTCTCACTCTCACTCTCTTCCCCTGCCGAGAAGCCGGCTGCACACTTTCCAGTCGCATTTTGGCTTCCATCGACGTGTCCCTTTGTCCCCGAGTGTCCTTTTTACCCTGACGGGGCTGGGGTTATTTTGACAGCAGTTCATTTGCCTTCTGCCGCCCTTCTCCCTTTCCCTGCTGCGTGCTAAGACTCTACACTGCCACAAAGAGTCGGAAAATGTATTCCACGGTTTCCCAAATCACTGAAGTCAAGTTTTATAGTCTAAAAATTGGTTTTCGAAGTGCAGACAAACCTCAAACTTTTTTATATTTTAAATACCTGACTGCTGGCTGAGGAAAATGTGTCTTTTGAATTTAAATTATTTTTATTTTATTCTTGAATTGCCATTTTTTAATGTCACAAGTAAAAAGTCACAAAATTCATGGGAAAGTTTGAGTCATTTAATTTTTATAATCGATTGAACTTTGGTTAATAAATTTCAGATTTTTAATAGGAATTCCTAGAAAACATATCAGATAAGGAATTAGAAGAAGAGCTAGTTCAAAAATAGATAAGAACTTAATCATAAGTCCGAATACAAATTTAATCTTCAAGCAGATTTGCTTATAAATACGAACATTCCTCAGCTTCTTTTCATCTCAGTCTTGAATTGCCATGAAAGTGCTGGTACGTAGAACGATCCTTAATCCGTCTGACTATTTAAGTAATCCTAATTTGCATATTAGTTTCTTTTAGTTGTTGCCTTCTTGGCCGTTCACCTTGTATTCTGTGCCCCAAACATGATGGAAAATGCTGATGAATACGAAAGCTTAGAAAGCCTGAGCAGCGAGTTCCTTAAAAACGAATTGGAAGTTCCGCAAGGCGACGATGTGGAAAACACAGTCGTATATCCAAAAATTTATTACCGATTATAATAACTAGAAAACTATATCAAAGGAAATGAATATTTAAACTCCTTCTCCATTCTTCTGTTGATGAAACTTTAATAAATTTCCCAATATTAATATTCCTTTATATGACATTTTACGGATTTTGGAATCTCAAATCTCTCTGCCAATAAATCGGATCATTGCGAGTCTGGAATTCAGCTGAGCTCGGCGGTAATTTTCATGCGTAAACAAGAAAATCATTTCTGATTCAGTTCCCATTCCCACGCAATTGAGTTTATTGTTACGCCAGGGAAAGCAAGAGGGGGGTAGAGTAAACAAAAGCCCAGCCATCATCGACGCCTCAATGAAACGCTTTTCGCTGCGAAATTAGTATTCAGTTACCATTCGGACAACGACAAGTTAAACAAACCTGAAAGCCATGGACGGAGGCCGGATGCGACTGCAGTAAAGTGGAGTTCGAGGCGACGAGCCTTGGATTCGACTGGGATCTCGGATCTTGGATCGGCAATCGGCAGTCATCATCTCTGGCCATATGCAAAATATGTTTATAAATAAACGACACTTGGCGAAAAGAAGGAGTAACTTTAGTCAGAGGAAAACAACTTTATATATCTTAATACATATCTTAAACTAAGTCTGATTAAGGATTACTCCTTCAAAGAAAGGTCAGTCAATGGTTACTTAACCCTAGAAGACTTAACCTTCCCGCTTGTCAAAACAGTTTTTGAATTTTTATCGGTGCAGCGAAACGGTTCCGAATTCCAAGGCGAAGTCCTTAATGGGATGTCACCGGAGAGTGACAGGGCAGAGCACCCCTTTAATGGCAACTAGATGTCCTCAGCTGGGACTGGGGACTGGAGTGGAATCAGTGCGGATGGGACTGGGATTTCAATGGGGATCGGATCGTATTGGAGATAGCAGATTGGGCCAGAGGAGGGGGCTGAGTGACTGGTATTGGATTTCAACATGCAATGCACGCGGCGCGGCATGCGGCTGCATATCTGCAACGCCATCTCTCGGATACTTCTCATCCCGATCCCCCCTCCCCTGCCCCTGCACTCATGCATTTAACTATAAAGGCCCCTTCCCCAACCAGTTCCCCAGCTCCACCGCAAGTGCCCGCCCGCTGATTGACATGTGATCCTCATCTTCATCGCATCCTCAACAAAGTTTCTATGGCTTGCAAATATCTGCCCTCCTCTCTGCGTATGCTCTTCAAAGGGGTACTTAGGGGCACTCATAGATCAGACCCAACAAGGTTAGGGTATCTATCTTAACGCCTCCTCCTTTCATCATGGACTAATGATAGTTATCATGGTGATAGTTCTAGCTGCAAGAAGAAACGAAATTCTGTTTTGTGAACTTAAGATTAAGAACACCTCACTGATCAGAGGAATGTAGTAAAAGCGAGAGAAGAGACCTTCCCTTAAGACAGAGAGTATTTAAGTTCGGTGTTTCCCTTTCTGGTTTTCAGACTTTACGCTGCTTTTAACCTGTTGTTGGTTCTTCGGCGGCGCTGCTCATTTGTCATTCAGGCGAAACACTAGCAAGTCGTAAAGTAAGCTCCGTTCCCGTTCCCGTTCCAGTCTCCTGACATCTCCCGAGGAAGACGGGAAATCATCTCGAGAAGTCGTTGCCGCTGCAGTCATAAAATTATGATCGGTATTTCTTCCCCCTGCCCCCTCCCCTGGGAAACTTGAACTGTGTCGCGGTTTTTGCCAGCATTTTTCAGTTATTTTCGAGTTTAGTTTTTCGACGTGGAACATGGATTTCTGTTGTATTTCATGCAACACCTTGTCCCCCGACTTCCAGGAACCAGACTCGGGACATTCCTCGGCTGCGTTTCCACGGAAACTTGCAAATGGACCGCCGTAATTAAAGGCACGAGAGCGAAGGAAAGCAAACAGCTTTAAGGCTTTTCATTCAGCTGCCTTATAGAAGCCCAAGGAAACCCATCCAAAGCCGCTTCAAATGCAGACGACGTGTCGCTTTTCACAAACAACGACGCGCCGCGCTCGTTTTCATTGAAAATTTCCACAATTTCCTCAATGGCCTGTCATGTGTGTGTGTGTGTGTGTAATACGATCGTGAATTTCTTGCCCAGAAACCCTGCAACTTCTTCGCTGCCACGGAGTGGGAGTGGGAGGAAAGGCGAGGCGCCGCAACCACTTATGAGTGTTCAAGATGTCGTGGATCCAAATTAAGATAAGACTCAGATAAGCCGAGCGCTTCGCTTTGGCTGCTTTAGAAACTCGTTAATAAGAATTTGGTTAAGCCACTGATAACGACTGGTTTTGGACTTATCTTTCTTCGGACTTATTATGACAAATTGGAAGACTACCGTTTAATCTTGTCCGGGAAATTCAAATGAAAGTGGCCCCCTCCAACGGCGTTTTCAATCTAATTTAGCCATGCATAAACTTAATATTCATTCCGTAATTAATCAAGCCCTCGTTGAGCCGCTCGCATTGTCTTTTTCGCCTTTTCGTGTTGATTGTGGAACCTCCTTTTCCCACAAAACACTTTTCATTCATTTTCATGCTCATTCACAAAGCATGAGAAGAAAGAAAAACAAACATCACATACGATAGAGAGAGGGAGAGCCAGAGAGCCAGAGAGGATGGAGAGATTCATAACTATTGAGCGAGAGCTAATGCTCGGGTCTTCTCAGTTTGACTGAGAAGGGCAGCCGACCAATCACAAAACCATTTCCCCTCTTCAGAAACCCGAGCATATTGCATCTTGTAGAGATTGTTCCGATTTGTTGGAGAACTTTCAGGAGAGCAATCCCCAAAGCCGGGTCTACAAAGGTGAATATAAGTGGACAGTGGTGGATAAAGGGGAAATGTTGATTCTTTGGATTCTGGATTCATGTGTAGTTGGTGATTTGGATTGGATCTTGTGGATTGGATTTTGTGGTACGTGGAAAAAGGAGATGGAGAGTTGGTTGGTCTTAATGTGGAAGACAGTTGGCCTGTGGATGGTGTGGATGTTGAGGAGCAGGGATTTGGATATTATAGAGTGGTAATGTCAATGCAGTTTTAAATATATTTTTAAAACAAAAGACTTCATTTAGCTTGTTGGTTTCATTTCCCCGTTATAGTACATTTATGTTCATCAAGTGTCCGATAGTGGTGGAATCTCCACAATATCCCCTCCAAAATAAGTTTCAGCTTGGATGTATAGATCCATTTATGTGGTGAATAACCTCTGTTCTTATGGATTTCAAAGATGCTCCCCAGACTGTCCAAAAAAATACTCTTTTCCCCTTTAGGAACTCTCCACAGAAACATCTGTAAAACCAAATAAAAACCCTTTCAAAAACTCTCCATCTCTCGCTCTCCAAAACTTCGGCTTCAAGCCGTGGTGGCTAGTACTTTCCCCTACCCTATCGCTCTCTGTCTCTACAACCACCTCTCTCTCTCCAGCCGACGAAACCCGAGAGCAAAGACTCCGCCTATCGGCGCTCTTCGGGTCGGGCCTTACACATCTAGCCACTCGGGCGGTATAAAAGCGGGCGCTCTGAGCGCACACTATTCATTCGTCGCTGCTCTGCCACTGTTAACGTTTCTGTTGAAAAACGACCGTTCGTTGAGAAAAAGATATAGAAATCGACCGTGTCGACAGTTCGCTGAAAAGATATAGAAATCGAAAAACACGCTGGATTAAAGTGTTTCGCACCAAACTTCGACAGAGTGACAACAATAAAGTGAAGTGAGCGCACAAAGCCAAAACCAAATCAAGAAAAAAGAAAGCAATCTTAACTGAACCTCGCAAGTAATCCGGTACGACCGTGTAACAACCGCCAAGATTCTACTCAAGGAGCGTAAAGCAATCATCTCGAGAATGAAGTCCCTGACGGCCGTCTGCCAGACAGGTGCCTCCGGAATGCCGGCCCTGAACGCCAGCGGGCGCATCTCGCGCCATCCCACGCACCGCGGCGACGGGGAGAACGCCGAGATGAAGATGTACTTGTCCAAGCTGAAGGACCTCGTTCCGTTCATGCCCAAGAACCGGAAGCTCTCCAAGCTGGAGATCATCCAGCACGTCATCGACTACATCTGCGACCTGCAGACGGAGCTGGAAACACATCCCGAGATGGGCAACTTCGATGCGGCGGCCGCTCTGACGGCAGTGAATGGTCTTCATGAGGACGAGGACAGCGACATGGAGGATGCCGATGTGGAGGCGGAATCGGAAGTGGATCCAGATGTCCTTGCCCAGCGCTTGGCCGCCGAACAGCCGGCGAAAGTCTCTAGTCCCGCCGCCCGTCTCCCGCTCGCCGATCGCCAAACGCCCAACACCCTCGTGGCGCCCGCTCACCAGCAACTGCAACTGCAGCAGCACCAGCAACTGCAGCAGCAGCAACTGCAGTCACAGCAGCAGCTGTCCAACAGTTTAGCATCGGTGAGTTAACAAATAAATTGCTAAAATAGCGGAATAGGAAGTAGGCAGATGGGCACAGCGGAGGTCGAAATAGTAGCAGAAATTAAATGGGAGATTAAAAAATCGTTTCTTGTTTTCTAAAAAATATATTTTATTTCCAAAACTGATCTCAAGAGTTGTAAACTCTCGGCTGCAAGGCAATGAAAGAAGATTATGAAATCCATCGCCAGGGTTTTGAAGACCCGTTTTACGACTGCAGTTTTCGGGTTTTTCTGAGTGCCATTATTTTGACCGCGGCTGTGTGACATTTGCATTGCAAATTCAGGAGACAATTGAGTGTCAAAGTGTTTGGTTTTGCTTGTTGTTGGCTGGCGAGTGACCTCATTCATAAGGCGATTGACAAATGTTTGCGTGAGTGTTTTCTGTTTTCTGTTTTTCGTAAGGACGCCTATCAGGAGGCGGTTTTTTGGGAAATTTCACTTCTCGACAACAATAAATCTGAGCGCCGACCTTCCCGATGCCCAGCCGCACTCTTCGCCCAAGAAATATGAAAAATTCATTTCGTTTTTATAGACATTTCACAGACTGTCCCAGTGCGAGTGCGACTGTGTGTGTGTGTGAGTGTGTTCTGCGGTTGTTGTCGCCGTCGTTTTCTTTCTTTTGTGTCTTGCCTATACGTAGCTGTTAATTTTTTCTCGCGGCCTTTTTCTGTTGTTGTGATGTTTTAAATGAACACCTGCAGATACTTAAATTTATTTCACATACACACACACACTCACTCACTCACTCACACACACACACACGCACTGCGAGCTTGAAAACGGAATTTGAAATTGGGGAATCATCAGTCTTCGTATTTTTCGTTTTACTTTGTTTTTGGCTTACTTCATTAGCGCTCGGCTCGCCTCTTCCTCTCCTCTCTCCACCTTTTTCGGTTATTAATGATGCTGGCGAAAAAGATTTGTTCGAGAGCCACGTGAAAACAGGTTCGAAAAAGCTCTTTTCAATGGGTTTTCGAACAAATGATCGACTGGGTGGCCCCGGCAAGTGTAACTAATTTTTGGTATCGCTGATTGTTGATTAATCGTGGAGGTGGAAACCCCTTTCTTCTGGCAGAGATCGACCTTCCCTTTGAAGTCACACACAGCTCTGCGTAGGTCTCTTTTCCTCCTCTCCTCTTTCCTGCGTAACTTTGTGCTTCTCTTGCAAAACATCTGCAACCCACAAACATACATCTTTGTTGTGTAAGTGTGTGTGTGTGTGTGTGTGCGATGTGTCACCACCACAGCAACAACAACAATGCGAGAATTCTTTCGAAAACACGCACACACACTCACAGGGACACATGGGGGCACTCAGAAAACTGTAAAAAGAAATGCACGTGTTCAAAATGTTCTCTCTGTGGGTTGTTTTCAGTTGTTTTTGCTGTTTCTTTTCGTTTTTTATTTTCGCGCAGCTGTGCGCCAGTCGCCAGTCGCCAGTCGGTCGCTTTCTACATTGTAGCCCCCCTCGGCGGATCCTGCCCCCCTTAAATGCCCGCCCCCTCGCAGTAAAGAGCGTGGAAGAGAGGAGAGGGGAGAGAACATGAGGGGAACACTGGGGGAAAAACTTATTAGAATTTTCGATATTTCGTAGATCTTTATTCTTACATTTTGTGATTATCTGGGAAAATGAAGAGTAAATTTCCTATAAATACTTTTTTACAAGTTTTCCTAGACATACACTTATTTCTCTCACTGTATAAGCACCCAAATGAGTACAAAACAAAAGCTCAGTGACAGCTCGTTTGATTTTCTTGGCGCCCCTAAACTGCCCCAGCCCCTGCTCATAGCATCGTCTTCCCAGCGAGTGTCCCAAAAACAACAACAAACAACGGGGAACTAATTGATAACACAGAATGGCGAAATAATACAGCTAATAAACAAATTATTGTACTTGAACTGCGAATACTAATTGGAATTTCCCCGCTCTCTCTCTCTCTTTCTAGCCTCTGAACGCGGAGAAGGACAGCAGGCAGTCGTAAGGGGGAAGGAGGAAAGGCCCAGCCGGGAAACCTATAAACTATTAACTAAATGCATAATTAAAGTACAGTCAAAACTCCACTCGCAAACCTTCGGGTGAAGATCTCCGCATAAGTAACGTGTAAAACTCTCAAGAAAAAGATAAACTGCAGCCTAGCCCAGGCGCGTCTCTGCAACTCTCTTTTCCCGAGCACGGAAGGTCGGGGAAATGAGATCTCGCCTCTGGCCGAACAGAGTTTAGTTTAAACATTTAAGGATACGAAAAGAAAACACAACAACACACAACAAACACCTAGCATTAGAGCATCGTAAGGAAGTAAACATTATGATTAAATATTAAAATATTAACTAGGATGGCGCTTAAGAACGAAACGAGAAGAGAAGAGAAGAGAACTTGGCAAAGCTTTAAACAATTTAATTTTCCTTTAACGCTTGAAATTACACTAAAGCATATATTTTGTTTTCCTAATTTTAGTTTTGTTTTGGTTTAAACTAAAAACGTAAAGATGAAAAGATGAAAAGAAGAAAAAGTGTTACTAATGCAAAGCAACAGAGATCAGCAATAATAAAATTCTGCTTAATGAGTATATGATTTCCATCTGAACGATTTTCCTATTAATTTTAATCAATGAGAATTTTCCTATTATTGATTAGCCTCAGCCAATCAGCCAACCAGCCAACCAGCGACAACAACAAGAAAACCAACCAACTCAGCAACACTCACATTCAGATTCATTAATTTATATCGAAAAGAAGAGAGAGAGGAGTTCGTTTAGTGTTTAAGTTGAGAAAGTAATTTCCAGGCACTAATTTTCACTCACACACACACACACACACACACCTCATTTGTAGTTTTCCGAGTCGTTTCCTCTTTTTTTAATCGAATTAATAGTAATTACCAGATATACACTAAACCTATAAATATACATTAATATATGTTCTGTGATCTGTAGCATACTTTGTACAAAGTGTTTTTTTAGCATAATTATGCGATTAATTATGATTTGATTGGTTTGATCCGCAATCGAAATTACACTTTTTGTTCTCATTTCGATGGAAAACACTCTGTCATGATGTAAAAAGAAAACATTGATGATGATGCGAAAAAATATATATCTAAAGAGAAGAAAAACAAACATTAGCTCTTAATAAATTGCAAAATTAAAAAATATTAAAAATCAAAAAGGCCACTCTGGGTTTTCTTTGGGCGGGAGGAGGGATTACGCAGCTACCAGAAACTACCGGAAAAATCTACTGCTAACTACCTGCAAGAAAAGCATTTCCCATGTAAACAAGTGCAACGAATCACCAGAACAATGAGCTGCATGGCAGATAATGCAACGGCCATGGGCGAGCGAGTTTTCTCACGCAGCCGACGCCTTTGTCATTAGGGTTCGGTTTTCCCAGGTAAAACGGCCCTTAGGGGCCGCGTGGAAAACTCGACCTGCACACGTGTGCGAATTGCGGACGGAAAATTTCCGTTGAGAAACATTTCCTTCACCTCGGCCTGCTGGTTTTCCTTTTATTTCGCCTTCCGACCGACCACTTGGGTGTGGATTTAGTTTTCGGTTTTTTGGGTTTTCTTTTCTTTTTTTTTGCCCGCAGCTGCCTGCCCTCCCACTCCCACTCTCCCCTCTCTTTCCCGCTATCTGCTGGCCTATTAGCGTTAATGATTGCAACTACAATGCACTGACCAATTGGCAATTGCGACTACAGTCTCGGGTGTGCTTCGAGATCGGAGCACAGAGCTCGGAACTCGGAGCTCTCGGTGCCAGCCGCCCCATTCAAATGTCAATTCGGATCGGACCCCAGTGGAACGCCAGGGAAACACTTTAAGCAGCTACGGACCGCTTTTCCTCGGAGGCCACAAATCTGGGATGCTCTTCGGAGGGCCCTCTGCTGCAGGTAAAGGTTACCTCATCATCACCTTAAGTAGAAGATTGATAGTAAACCAATTTATTTGGCAAAACATAAAATAAATATTTTGTAAGTTGGTAAATTTGTGAAATACTTCAGGTGACAGATGTCTGCCAAAGCGGGATTTATTACTTGGCTCCGCGTTAATTGAGCAATTACTTAATCGTAAAAAACTTCCCATTCTAGCGCCGCGAAACCGCATTACTGTTTTCTTGTTAGGGTATGAACTGCCGCTTAAAACAAATCCCAGGCAAATGGAAAATAATAGGAAAAGCGAAACAACGAAGGGGTTCACATGCATTGTCTGCGGGCGACATTCATGGTGCACTGGGAAAAGTCAAGTTGGGTCTTAAGGGGAATGTTTATCAGTCTAAATGGAAGAGATTTCAGTATTGATCTCCCTCACCTCACGACTGATTCCACGAGTAAGATCATTCTTACTTTGAAGTCTTTATAGAAACACCTTCAAGTTCCCTTGCATATTTCATCATTAAGCATAAAATACCAAAGATTTCTCTCAGTGCATCAGTGCGTTTTATTCGCCGTCGCCCATTCTGGGGGCCAATGATCTCCGATTCCGAGCCAAACTCTGGTATGCGCTAATTGTTTGCAGAGCTTTGGGGTCTTTGGGGCTGAGACTGGGCTTGAGTCCGAGTCTAAGCCATTGGCCAGGTACAATTAGTGCGCTCACCTTAGTCGCCGTTTGTGAGGCTCGGATCGGGTCCGGGGGTTTCTCTCTCATGTAATGATTTTTTTTGGGTGCGACTGCGCTGAGACGAGAAATCAGTGAAACTTGAATTACCATAAAAACTCGTGTAGCAGTCAACAGCTGCGGCAACTGCGCGATTGCGAATGCCGTCGCAGTCGCAGTCGCTCGGCTCAGCCTTCCAATGGCCGTGCCGGAAAATTTTGACATAATAATTGTCAAGCTGACATTTCCAACCACGCAGCTGACAGCTGAGCCCGAACCAGCCGAGCTCCCGACGCTGCTCTAGCTTAACCCCTTGACGTCCCAGGGGGATTACGGGAGGATTAAGGCCGTTATCGCATTAAGTCCTAAGTCTGGTGACCTTCAAAAGTCAAGTTTTTCTCAGTAATTAAGGATCTTTCTTCGTTAATCTAAAAGTTGTTTTGAAAATCCTAAAAATACATTACGTAAGGCTGTTTACCTGCTTCTTCCAAGTGCTTTGAATGCCTAATAAGGCCTTTCGATTCCCGAGCACGTTCAGTAAATGTTGACAAAAATGTGTGCGGTTTTTTAATGACTATTTGCTTAAAAGTAAAAATATGTTTGTAAGGCTCTCTGAGTAACACATTACTAAGTTATTTGGGTAATTAAATCACTGACTTTTCTAGGGTTAAGTGCCTGTTTTCCCGCGCCAAGTGAGGTCTCCGAAATGAAAGCTAAACCACAATCAACAGCGCCGACGACGACTTCGGCGAGGTGCGCATAAAAATCGCATTTAATTGTGATTTTCACACGAAATACAATGCGCATGAGCAACTGGCGCCGCTGGTTAAAATGGCTAAAGCGAGGGGGGGTGGCATTTGATAAAGGCGTTGTAGGGGGAGCGGTAGGGGAGGAGGTGGTAATACTTGATGGCAATTTGTGTAACTAGCGGTAAAGCGTAACTACTAAACAGTCCGCGACCGCTGCAGTTGCTGTTGCTGTTGTGGTGGTGGCTTTTGGGAAACACCTGCAAAACGCAAAACGCACCTGTTTCGCTTAACAACAACAACAACAACAAGTACCGGCAAACGAAAACTAAAACAAAGTCAAGACACCAAAGCCAGCGAAATAAAGGCAGCAGCAGAAAAGCAACGCGGACACTGCTCAGCATCTTTTCCATGGGTTAAGCTGGGCAAGGCAGTTGAGTAGTCGCCAAGGGGTTAAGGGGAACCGAGGCTTTTGTGTAATTGAAGCGGCCATCTGTCTTCGAGGCGAGGGAAAAGCGGAAAAACTGGGTGAGAGTTCCACGCGAATTAGGAAATCGAAACCGAGTCGATGTTGGAGTTGCAAACTTGATTTGTGATTGGGAAACATGTGTAAACGCACAGTCAGGGGCAAACTGGTAGCACTTTATATATATAATTTTATAATATTAATAAGATATATATATAAGATGGAAGTAATTAACTTATTAAGTCATTCCTTTAAGGTCTTAGCAAGGTGACTAATTAAAAGACTGATAGATGGTAAATCCCATATTTGCAACCCCTAATCCTTTCACCTCGCTTGTTTAACCAGGAATAGGAGTCAGGTGCTCGAATCGGAAGCTCAAACTGCGACCACCACCACCAGCGAGCTCCATCAGCTGGCGGAAGTTGGCCAGGAAAGCGGACAAAGCGGGCAGCTGAGGATCGGGAACGGCTCTGGGTGGCTGACTCCCAGCATTGATTTCAGCTGCGTCACCCACCCATTGTGGCTCTAGTAGTTGCAAGAGGGGTGGCGGTGCTGCTGCTGCTGTTGTTCGGTGGCCGCCACATGTTGGCCTAATGACAGCTCTGACTGGAAAGACTCAGTCGCGGTTTTTGGCTTTTCGGCCAACAATGGCGATGACAATGGTCGAGAGGTGCGGCTGCCGCAGTTGCAGTTGCAGTTGCAGTTGCAGTGGCTGCTGCAGTTGCTGCCGCCTGACATTTGATCGAAAGACAAGGGGTCACAGGCCCCACGCCGTCGATGACGAACTGCGGCGAGTGTCAAGCCGTAAATTAAATAAAATTATGCACAATTCCTTATCGCCAATTGAATTGTTGCTGCTGGAGCCTCGAGGCTCTGACTAATGCGCCACCCGAGTTGCCGAGATTGATATACGATGGGGAACACGGCAACGCTTAGCGGTGGCGGCAACTGCAACTGCCAACAGCAACAGCGCCACTATCAAAAGACCACCAACAGCAGCTGCAAGCAGGTAAGAACTTTGGTAGAAGAGTTGAATACCCTAAGAAGCAGATTTACTAAAAGAGATATCAGAAGTTTGGTAAGGTTACTTGGCAGATAGAGGATGGCTGGTATTTGGTAGTACCTACAGTAAACCCTCAATCTAACAAGCTTCTAACACCAGTGGTAATACCCTTTGAAAGCGAACAACAGAGCCGAAAATACGACGTTGATAAATGCCATCCCACGCCTCGGCTCTGTTTTGGCCAAATAAAATGAAATAAAAAATCGCAAATAAATAGTGACCGGCTCCCGCCGTTGCAGTTGGGTTTTTCATTCATTTTCATTTCGTTTCGCTAATTGATTCATTGATCTTGGCGATATCGCTCCCCGGCGACCGGAGCTTAGCCCCCCGATCCTGCTGCAGATCGTAACATAATTCTTTTCGCGGGCTGCTGGCCCGGACTCCGGAGACTCGCATTCATTTGCACGCCTGTCGTTGTCCACTTGGCCGTCAATTGTGCACAAAGACATTATTAGCCGTCTAGGAATTCAATTCCATTTCCATTGTCGGCCCGGCCCGGCCCGGCCAACTGGCTTTCGAGGCTTTTCACGGGGGCTTGGCCAGGTTTTCCCCTCTTTTTTCTGTTTTTTTCTGTTTTGTTGCTGTTTTTGTGTTGCTGTTGTAGCTGCAATTTGTTAAATTGACAAAAACTTTTTGCGATAAACTTGGCGCGTTATTAAATTCAATAAATTTGCTCTTGCTCCGCGGGCTGGTTTCGTTTTTCCGCTATCTCGAACCGCGATCAGCAAATACAAATTCTGTTTAAGATACCAAACAGAATCGATCGATTTGGCCAGGTTAATTGCCAGTCAGCTGGGCGAGGGACGAGGGGCGTGGCCATCAGATATTCGTTATGCGATGCGATTCTTATCTGTCACCGCTGAGGCGAATTAAATTTGCAATCAATGAAACCCAACCAGCTTGTCACAAATGCCACAAACCTCTTCCTCTATTCGGCAGAGTCCCCGAAACACAAAGGCCGCCGCCAGCTGAAAGGCCTCCGAGGCGACTCCAATTCCAACTCCAGCTCAAAGCTCCAAACTGCGACTCCGACTCCGACTCCGACTCCGGCCAACTTCCGTCGCACATTTGCCATTTGTCATGCCATGTCAGAGCGGTCCAAAGATGCCCAAAAATGGCGACGAAGGAACAGACTTCGCAT